CATGACATGATGTGTACATAAAGAAGAGAAAACATTGACAGACTAATTATCTGTGAACTAAAAACAAAGTATTGTGATCTAATGACACTCACCATTGACAGATACATCCCAGATTCTAACACTAAAATCAACTGAAATTGAAGAGCCACAGACCATCATTATTATTACAGGCATTTATTATTATTAATTTGATAGATCTAACAACTTCTGGCATTCAACTTCAAGCCAAAAGACCCTAAAATTAATTAAAGTCCACAAATTTAGTTTTTATTTTAAAACTGAAAAAATGTTCTCACAGAGTACATAGTTCTGAGTTGTGAATGTTACAGTGGTTTTTGATTCAAGTCAGACAAGCATGCCATACTATGGCAGAGTTGATCTATCTACACCATCTGGACAGGATATGATAGCCTCCATTACCATGTCACCATTTTCCTTTGACCTTGTAATAATTATAACATAGAAAGACATGCTACAAGGCAATGTACTGGATGACTTATAAACAGAATAAAGATATTAACTTGAAAATAAATCCATTATACACAGCAATACGGTTCCCATGATACATTTCACAGACCAATATTACAGCTTGTCTCTTAGATGTTCTGACTCCAGTATTATGAGTATGCCATGATTAGGACAATAGATGTTAGGATACAGGACTATTTAAATGCTATGATTGATTGGTTGGTTGTGTGGTTGGTTGGTAAACGCCACACGCAATATTCCAGCTATATGGTGACGGTCTGTATAATCGAGTCTGGACCAGACAATTCAGTGATCATCAACGTGAGCATCGATCTACGCAATTGGGATACTGGTCCCTATGAGGTCATGATGAAAAAATTTAACTAGTGAGGCGAAATGGGGATAACATATATATAAATGCTAGCCCCCTGAGATCCCATGTGGCAATATAACATGTACACCCAACTCAAACACATTATAAATACACTAAGTCTAAGCTGGCTGGCCAGTCCTTGTTTTATTCCCTCTTTGTTGAGCGCCAGGCAGAGTAACAACAATTATCAACTCAGATTATATTTTGGTATGATGCAGTAAGGGGGTCAAAATTAGACCTCCTGCTCTCCAAACAGATATTCTATCCATTGTAAGATACAGGTGGTAATACCAGTACATTTTCAGATGCAAGCAATTAAAAGACAAATATACAAAATCAACTTTTTTTTAAGGTTCATATCAAATTAATAATGATAAATATATATGTAACCAGCCCAAGAAAATTATTATGATACTTACAATGCCTTCTTGATTGCAGAATAATAAATCCCAATGCCAAAGACTATTACCATATTTGCCAGACAGGTATAAACATGACTTATCATGCCGTCAAAATAATATTGATACATCTCATTCATGTGTGATTTACTTGCTGAAATAGAACCCCAAAATATGTCCACAAAACAATTGAATTGTACAAATAATATCATCACTTTGACATCCAGGTGCTAATCCTACTTTCCAATACTTGAATTACCCCCCTTCCCATATGACAACAGCCACAGTTGTGTGTCTGGACACTATATGAGATAACTCAATTTGTTATTTGCCAGACCATGCAGACAGACTGGTAGCTTTCCTGCAGCAATATGGCAAATATCATTATTGCTCATAAATGGATGGTTATTTATATTTTCTGTTCACAAATTTGATAATCAATTATGTTAATGTCATTACATTAGTAAGAGTTATGATACATCGACAAGACATGGGACATGCCCTCTTGGCATATATTACAAGACATCAAATAATAAGCAAACACACATTTAGTAATCTACACAACCATTCTTACATATCCATCACGAAACCTTGCAGCTTATAATTAGGATGGACTTAGTATTGCAAATGGAATGGGAGTATGTGCTACATCATGTTGGTTGAAAAATTTAATTAAATGGGATTTAAGCCCAGAAATCTTTCTGTCTACCAGAATCCATATTACACTCATACTTTTCTTGATGCGTATTTAATACCTGGAAAGCTTACACTTTCAAACATTTAGTTTCTGCTTTAAAGCGAAAACAAATCTGGGCTTTTAAATGCTCATTGAAATCAGCAACTCTGACAATACATAATGTGTTTCTCCTACCTCATGAATACAACCCAAACAGCAGTCAAGCATGTCTACATGTCTGTTAACAACATACTGATGTCCTGTTCAACAAGACTTTAATCTTCAATATAAGTATCCAGATTTCAATACGTCCCAGTGAATGAATTCATGGTTATATACATTGGGTAATGACTATTATACATGTTGTACTTTATTCCAAAATTTCAATCAGAAAATGATCCTTCAGAACCTAGTTCGTTTTACTGTATTTACCCCACAATATATTTTGAGCTTACTAGACTACACTTGACTCACAGCATACTTTCTTGTACATGTTATCATATGATCTGCTATCATCATATGGTCTGTTATGGTATCATTAGCACAGCTTACTTGACTGATCCAAATTTTACTATATCAAGGATGGAAATAACTTTAAAATTGCTAGTGTACTCCGGTACAGTGGCACATGTAAAATCACTTGCCCTGATAATTTTTCCACTATACCGGCCGTTTTCTTGTTGAATTTTTAAATAAACAACATGATAAACATTGGGAAGTCAACTGGACACCGGTACAGTGTGATATACAAATTTGCTTGCCCGACAGAAAAAAACACTGGACTCGCACGTCGGGCAATGGGTTATTTCCACCCCTGCTATATGCACGCTTTCAACTAGCAGTTAAAGAGGTAGAAAGACATCATAAATGACTAACACATATTACATGTGTTGCAATAATGTATTGCTTGATTTGACTGAAAAGTATCAGTTGTTTTGAATCGCTGGAGAATGTGGAAAGTATAACAACAGGTTATTTTTTATTATGGATTAATTTAACGAGTGATCAGATGGCAGTTAATAACATAGCAACACTGTCTCAACATGCACACTGAAGTGAACGTTTAAGAAAGAGTTTCAGTGTTTTGGATGGAGTAAGTGGCAGAAATAGAAAAATAATAAACAAAATTAAATTAAGCCAATCAGTTCCTTCTCATCTTTTACAACAATCACTGATTCACAGAGTATTATGATTGTTGCCATACTCTCGATTCATGTTGGTATATAAAAGTCACATGTTTTAGATGAAGGAAAATTCAATAGTTAAAACTGGTAACAAAATCTCAATATCAATGACCACCATCAGTATTAAATCTGCCTGACGTTTATTCTAGTAACGGAAAACCCAGTACATCATATGTTCCACAGCACATTTGTGGTTATTTTTCATGAATATATTATGACAATACAGGTATCAGAAATACAGCCCTTGTATGTAACTGGCCAAGCCATACTCAAAAAGGTCAACAGGTAGACTCAATATCTGCTCTATACCCGAAAACAGAAAGGCCTGGTAAATGCAAGTAAAGCTAAGAGACGCTCGAAAGAGTATTGATATTATTTCTGATGATTTATGACTCAAATGAGACCACTCAGACAATAACAAAATGATAACTAATAGTAACACACTGACCAAACCATGATATTATTTTCTATGCTGTTATATATTATTAGTTTTGTAAATATGAACAGCAAGTTCAACAATGATCTAATCAATACCAATGCAAAAGATACAAGGCTGTAACAAAGATATTTCATTATTTTATTTTCGAACAAGAAAACATATTCTTGCATATTGGTGAAAGTATTAAGGCAAGGTGAATGTTGATCTATTTTCAATGATTTCTTTGCTTTAATACCTGTCAGGGTTTAAAAATGATGTCAGCATACTTAGATATTGTGAGAATTGCAGATGCTTGAAATACATAACATTCATAATATGTTTCTGAGAATGGCTGAGGCAATACATTACAATCATTGTCCAATATGAGGTACATGTACCCATACATAACATGATGAAGTATTTGTCAGTGACTTTCTGTGCAAAGAATGAGACCAGTTGCATTCATTTACGTCAGGGGTCCAGCTGATACAGACATATGTACAGACCAAGACATATGTACAGACCAAATTCTATGGGTGGGGCAGAATGACATGTTTTGCACAGAAGATAAAACACTGAAATTGTGGTAACAATGAATCCCACACAGATACACTTGCTTCTACAAACACATTATTGCTATTATTATTTCTGTTACAGACATATGTTCCATAATCCTGAAAATGATCTGAACAAGATGATGAAAATAATTCTCCCATTGCCCAATCTACAATAACAAGATTAAAGGACGGGTGATGTGGCACTTGTTTCTTTGGGTAAACATGGATACATGTCATCTCAAATCTTTTATCTGCTTCTCAGAAACATACGAAAGTTAAAATCATACACAAGTATTTAACATAGAGATCTTACTTCCTACTTGTGTTTCACTAAATCTTTGCTGACAGAAACAGGTGTGACAAACATGGTTAATATACCTCTTCCAGTTATACAATGCTGAAACCACAACTCTTCAGTATATGTGATCATGTGAATTTCTGAAGAAGTTACAATTACTAATAAACCACAACACTATGTCTTATTTGGCCCTCTTATTTCCCCAGGACTGAAGTTCACCTTCAATAATCTGGTCACCTTTTGAGGAATTCTGAATCCAAACTGGGCTCACCCAACTGTATAGTTAGATGATGTAGATACAAGACACATTTAAACTCTACTGATATTGGGAAAAGAATAATGTACCAAACACACCCTTAGATAATGCAAAATGACTCATCTGTAATGAATGATAGCAGTAGAAATACACAAGTGTTTGTGAATGAGATACTAAGTCATTTTATCAGCCCATGGATACTAATACATGTATCAGTAAAACCACATCAGTATTGACGATTATGATGTAGCACTGACAAAACAAAGATATCAAACAATTGTTGGTAAGCAAACCCACATGTTTCCTTATAATAAACAAACAAATATAGAAAATCATGTTAGTATCAGCGTTCTTCACACAAATGCTCTTTACCTGCAAACAAGGACAGCAGAAGTCTTATCGCATTGTCCGACGCACCAATCCAAGTGGCGATAAAACTTACAACTGCCGCCACAACCATTCTACCCTCATTACCGTTTGTTTATGACGTGTTATGTATCAAAGCCAAACAACATGTGGATTCTAAAATTTACGTTGCAACGAACTGCCTGATGTGACCGCGCATGACCTCAAGGGAGCGATAATTTCAGAGAACGACATCGGGATAAGGGAGCATTCATTGTACGAGGAAGGCGCTGGAAAAGTGTAAGCGCTATTGAGAGCATGTGTTTATCACCGTTTCAGAAATCTTGTTACAGATTAGAATCATTACTTCAAATTTACTAATGTATCAAGAAATATAAATTATTATATCATATTTTCTAATCACAAAACTCAAATAGAAACTAAAATATAAATCGTTAATTTATTAATTTTGTTTATCCCAAATGCGGTCCCCAAATGCATTTTGATCAATTTCAAGTTATTAAATCGGGCATATAGATATAATTAATTTTGCTGTCTTCAGTGCGATTCATGAAGTATTCTTTTATGATCGGAATCAAGTAGAACAACTGTAAAACAAACTGTTATTGCGAAACCTGACATGCAGGTGACATGGTGTTATTTCCGCCCGTGACACTGCATATTGTCTTCATGTTGGCAAATGTTGTAATGAAAACTCGTCTGGTTCTGATGGACGATTAATAATTTATGTACAAATATGTCCCCTGTGAAGTCATTGTGTCTCAGTGATGTTGGTTCAGCAATTTAGCATTTTCATGCTGTGATGTCGCTAATGCTCATTTGGTAATGCAGGGAATATATAAATTATTATTACTTACGTTAACAGATATTACCAATACGGAATAAAATTAAAATTAAAATAACATTTAGTTTTTCATCTGTCTGTTAACAAATCGCCGTAAAAGAGGTTGAACTTGTTATTAATTGTTATCTAACCGCGCACAATGTTCCGACTGCATGCATAGACCCGTGAAGGTTCGGGATAGAATTGATCTTCAGTAACCCATGCAGTGTGTCAGGCTCGCTGACTTGGTTGACACATGTCATCATATCCCAATTGCGTAGATCGATGCTCATGCTGTTGACCACTGGATTGTCTGGTCCAGACTCGATTAATTACAGACCGCCGCCATATAGCTGGAATGTTGCTGAGTGCGGCGTAAAACTAAACTCACTCACTCCCTATTCCTTAACCTTTTCTTCAACAGTCCAACACCACGTGATCTTTTCATTAGTGTATTTCAACCTTACAGGAAACTATACACTGTAATATAATCACGGCCTCGATTGTCCAGTGAATTCAGCATTCTACTGTTTTAAATAAATACCCTGGACCCATATGCCACACGGCTTTGTTTCGAACCCGATTGAGATATATGTTATAACATGCAGTCACAACGGAATCGTCACGACCGCCTCCGTGGTGTAGTGGTAAGAGCATCCGCCCGGAGAGCGAAAGCTCGCGGGTTCGATCCCCGACCGCGTCATACCAAAAGACGTTAAAATATGGTACTTGTTGGTCCCTGCCTGGCGCTCGGTATTTATGGGTACAACAAGGACTGGTCGGCTCGGAGTCAGTATAATGTGTCTGAGTGGGGTATTCATGCTTCACTATGGCATGGCACCTCAGTGGGCTAGCACTATAAAACCAGCTTCTGTCTGTGCTAGTACAAGCAGCCGCACATACACATACACACGCATGCACGTCGTCATATGAGCGTAATATTCTCAAGCACGACGTTAAACCCCATTTCACCTCACCTCACGGAATTGTCGCTTCATAAAAACATACACGATGACTGAACGGCTGAGGGTTCGAATCCCATGTTACTTGGATTTTCTGCACCACACGTGTTTAATGGTTCCACCTTATGGTTATGACGTCAGTGAGTAAGTGAAACGCAATTTACTCACTGGCCCATCCCCTAATAGACCCAGGAGTGTATGGACATTGTCAACTCATGCATTTCCTTTGGTGTAAGGCAAAGTCCGTTTAACTTATATATTCACAAAAGAAGCCTATTGTACTGTACTGACTTCGGGTCGAGCACATGTGTCACACAACACCATGTAACATGCGCCGTCGCATGCTGCCTTCTCAGGTTGCCATGAACGTGGCGAAGACAGATATTTATTGTAAAGGATTACGTAATATTAAACGATTTGAGAGTCGGTTTGAAACATTTGACGATATGCAAATTATTTTTAGTGATAGATAAAACTTTATGAGACACGGATAAGTAGAATCTTACAATCGAAGTGATAAAGGTAATTCTACGGCCAATACAGGTGCACGCGCACACTCACGCACAACATCATTTGTCCAACGAGCAACATTGTTTTGAGAAGGCGGAAATCGGAAGATAGTAACTCAAGATATAGATCTCGTTATACTGCCGAGGTAGAGCGGAAACAAGACTTGCAAAAAAGCTCTTTTTGATTTGTTTCCAGTGAAGTATTTCACTGCCATTACGTAACAAATAAAGATTGATAGTTTATTTCCGCGTCTGCATCGGTGATGAACTTGGTGTGAACTCTGAACTGGACATGATGTCAAATATATATATGTGAGCAATTCATCAAATTTTATGCAAGTTGATGACATGGGTATTCATTAAGATATTTTCCAGTTTACCATTATTTATTTTTCAGGTTTATTATCGACAAGAATTTTCTGTGACAATTCAACGCGCAGCAAGATCAATCGTCATTTTGCATCCACCCTGTGCCCTGACTTTACACGTGTAGGCGTAATACAGCCTTTGTGCGGTTCCGAACAACCTGTATTGGCCGTAGAATTACCTTTATCACTTCGATTGTAAGATTCTACTTATCCGTGTCTCATAAAGTTTTATCTATCACTAAAAATAATTTGCATATCGTCAAATGTTATCTCATCTGTTGTTTCAAACCGACTCTCAAATCGTTTAATATTACGTAATCCTTTACAATAAATATCTGTCTTCGCCACGTTCATGGCAACCTGAGAAGGCAGCATGCGACGGCGCATGTTACATGGTGTTGTGTGACACATGTGCTCGACCCGAAGTCAGTACAGTACAATAGGCTTCTTTTGTGAATATATAAGTTAAACGGACTTTGCCTTACACCAAAGGAAATGCATGAGTTGACAATGTCCATACGCTCCTGGGTTAATTTAGGTCATTGCTAGGCGATAACAATGTACACTGAGCTTTACCAACCATGTACGAGGTAAATACATGTCTATTTATAGACCAGGGGCGTAGGACACATTTATCCAAAAGGTATGTCGATGTTATCTTGACTCGACTGCCTCTTCAATAGTGTCTCTATAGAAGTACATTCACAAAGAATTCGACTTTTCGAATAAAGGACGCGGTGTACAAAGCTTTGTTATGCGACTGATTGTTGGGGACCATAGAATTATATATGCATCACTTTGTAGATATTTGAAAAGCCTGAAACTCCATAAATCCTGAACATGAAAAGAAAAGTGAACATATTCATATTCATATAAATTACGTACATGAGGGTCGGTTTGAAGAAAATGGGAGTCCGGTCGATTACATAAAAGGTGGATGAATTATTTTAGTGAAAAATGGATTGGATGGGCGATCATGTACCGAGATGTTGAAGGATGGCGCGGCGAATGTGTTATAATTTGCTTGTGAAATATGGAGAAGTGAATGCCTTTAGTTGTGAAGGATGGAGGAGTAGTGATCGAATGCTTTCAAACTGTGAAGAATGGGGCGGTGAATATATTTGGTTGTGAAGGATGGAGCGGTGAATGTATTTGGTTGTGAAGGATAGAGTAGTGAATGCATTACGTTGGGGAAAGATGGCAAGGTGAGTAAATATAGCTGTTAGAGATGGAGAGGTGAATACATTCAGTTGTGAAATGGAGTGCATGGTTAATGCATTAAGTTGTAAACGATGGAAAGGTGAATGCATTATGTTGGTGAAAGATGGAGTAGTGAATACATTATGTTGTGAATGATGGAGAGGTGAATGCATTATGTTGGTGAAAGATCGAGTAGTGAATACATTATGTTGTGAAAGATGGAGAGGTGAATGCATTAAGTTGTGAAAGATGGAGAGGTGAATGCATTAATTAACGTGTTGGAAGATGGAGTAATGAATACATTAAGTTGTAAACGATACAGAGGTGAATGCATTCAGTTGTGAATGATGGAGAGGTGAACACATTCAGTTGTGAAAGATGGAGAGGTGAACACATTTAGTTGTGAATGATGGAGTGGTGAATGCATTAACGTGTTGGAAGATGGAGTAATGAATACATTAAGGTGTTAAGAATGGAGTGGTGAATATATTTAGTTGGAAAAACTGGATTTACTGAAATGGAAAGATATAACAGGGGGAGGGTGAATGATTGGTTGGTGAACGATTGGTTAGATAGAAATGATGAAAAGGTAAGGCATGAATTCATTATTACAAACGTGGAGACTTTTAGAAAATATTTTATCACAAATGATTTTAATTTTGCTCGGATTTCTTTAAAGTTATTGCCAAACTTTGCCTTCCACACACAGTTAACAGACCAGCATACAGAAATAACACTTAGGAGCAAAATAAGAACCTGTCTTATTGTCCTTGCAAAGTCACATTGTCATCTCATATAATATTCAATAAGCCAACCAGGCATCAGAAGTGATGAACCAAGGTTTCGTTCAGTTACTAAGCGTTGCAAGAACCTTTCTGGGTCAGTTTCAAACAGAAACGTGTTGTCCATGTGTGTGTTTTTAATCAGATGAAAATCTATGAAACTGAGTGAGCTCATCCTTTAAAGAAATTCAGTCTCTCCCGTGAAATGCTAGTCTGTCGTACAGACCCTGAAGCAAATTTATCCAAGAAAGCCCACGCAAGTCTAGAAAATGTGGCAAGTCTAGATTTCCTCAGTCTCAGGGCTCCTTTTCATTATATTATATTTTCTTTTACTATGAACTTTTTTCAGTAAAATAATTTCATTTCAGAGACTAGTTGTTAGTCTAGTGAAATGCCCACAGCGCCTATACAATATGATGCATCAAACTTCCAGATTGTACACTAGTGACGTAGTGTATCTTTGTGCCTATTACATTACCCACTCATAGGTTCAAAAGTCCAATTGTGTTTGTATATGACAATGATGATGTAATGTCACTAATGGTACCCCTCAAGTGTCGAT